TCCACCTTGAGTCGCAACTTGCACAGGCTAAACTCCCGCCGGAAGTGTCTCGCGACCCGGCAAACAGCGAACTTCGGTTGACGCTGAAGGAACTTTCCACCAGGACAAACTTCAACTGGCTAGCCGAGGTGATCGAACCACTGTACCAGGCGCTGAACGTCTCCAGCGAGTACCTGCCCGCCGAGTCGCAGGGGGTGATAGTCAACGACATTGGCTACCTCACCAAGATGGTGGCCATTCTGGCGAAGACCTCACCGAAAACGGTGGCCCACCTCGTCGGATGGCGAATCGTCGAAACCAACGGGCCTCAGGCGTCGGAGCTTTTCCGTCAACATTCGGCAGCCTTTGAAAAAGTTCACCTCGGCCTGAAGAAGATGACCCCTCGGTCGGCGGCCTGTTTCTACCAGGTGAACGGGAAGCTGGGCTACGCACAGATGAACATTGCTACCTCGCGGCTGTGGATTGACCACTACTTCTCCCCGAAAGATAAGCTCGAATCGGAGCACATTGTCGAGTCGATTCAGCGCACCTTTGGCCACCTTCTTCTCGACAATGGGTGGATGGCCGACGAGCGGACCCGTTTTGCAGCCCTCAAGAAGTTGGCCTCCATCAACCGGAAGGTCGGCTACAGTGACGTCCTGCTCAGCAATGACTACCTCGACTACGTGTACAGCCTGAACGGAAGTTTATCAGCTGATTTTGAAACTCTGCTCAAAGAGAAGAACTACTTTAAGGCCTTTCGCCGGATGAGCGTCGCCGGGCTGCAGGGCAGTCTGAAGATGCTGAAGGGGCCCTCCATTTCGGATGGAAGTCTGTGGATAGTCTCGCCGGCGACGATCAATGCGATGTACTTCTACAAGGATAACTCTATTAGTAAGTGTAAAGTTTGTTCATAAAAAAGCTTTAATTTAATCTTTCTTTTTTAGCCATTCCCGCCGGCTTCCTGAAGATGCCCAACTTTGACGCCAGCAGACCGCACAGTCTGAACTACGGCGCCATTGGCGCCGTAATAGGTCACGAGATTTCGCACGGCTTCGATGACGCCGGTCGAAACTACGACGAGGCGGGCAACCTGCGGGACTGGTGGTCCAATGACACGCTCAGGCAGTACAAAAGTCGGGCGTCCTGTATTGAAAAGCAGTACAGCTCTCAAGTGGAGCCAATGACGGGACTTCATGTAAGAGAGGGAAAAAACTTTAATTTTAAAATAATTTTAACCTTTTTTTGTGTTTTTTCTCAGGTCAACGGCAAATCAGGCCTAGGGGAGAACATTGCTGACAACGGGGGCATCCACACGGCTCATGAGGCCTTCAAGGCCCGCCAGCTGGTCAGCCCCTCGCCTCGACTGGCCGACCTGCCGCAGTACTCGCCGGAGCAGCTCTTCTTTCTCTCCTGGGGAAATGTAAGTTTTAACTTTGTTTTATTAACCAAAAACATTTTTATTAATGGAAAAATTTTTTTAACAAGGTTTGGTGTGGCCTTATCCGCCCAGAGGTGATGAGGCGGAACATTGCCAGTGATCCGCATGCGCCGTGGCAGTTTCGCGCCAATGTGCCGCTGATGAATTTGCCCGCCTTTGCAGAGGCGTTCAAGTGTCCGGTGGGCTCAAAGATGAACCCCAGAGAGAAGTGTGCTGTGTGGTAGTTTTTTTTACCGCAAATATGCATTTTTTATAAATAAAAACTTTACTTGGCAACTGAAACAGTTCAACTGAAACAAAAAAAATTAGGTTTAACATACAGTTTTTTCCCTTGCAAAAAGTTGACGCAAGATGCGTAAAACAGAAATTTAATTGTAACAGTTTTTAATTTTTTGGTTGAATTTACGTCCACTCTTATAAGGCTTGCAATTTAAAATGCAATAGAACTGTCTATTTAATATTTTTTAAAAAACTGTTTTAATTTGTTACTTTTTTGCTGCAAATTAAAACCACACACTTAACAATTGTTTATCAAAAACTCTAGCAAAATGAACTTCTTTTTAGTTTTACTTCCAGTGACCATTATTTGTGTTCTTTCCTCATCTCTACTTCAACTCTGCTCATCGGCGGCCATTGAAGCTTCAAATCCAAATGACTCCGTCACCCTTGATTCAATAAAAAATGCCAATGACACCGCCGAGGTGACGCTGTCATCTGAGGCAAACAGCCTGATACAGGAAGTGCTGGGAAGAGCAAAGAAGCCTCGAAAGTCTGACGATGATGAAGAAGAGGCAGGCGGAGGCGGTGGCGGAGACGGAGGTGGTGATGATGATGATGGTGGCAAAAAGGGAGGCAAAGGTGGCTGGTTCGACATCGGCATGAACGCCCTCAAACAAGTGCTCAACTTTATCTCCGACAAGTTTCACAAAGGCGAGAAGATATTTGATAACATTATCAAAATTATTTTAGAGTTTTTCAAGAAGCTAAAAGAGGCGCTAAAGGGAGGCAGCTCGAAGAGTGCAAAAACTGAAGATTGAGATTAAGGATTAATTGATTGGGTTGAACTCTTGGAGTATATGAGATTTTTTTTGTTAATGATTGTGTTTTTGTAAAGTGTAACAAAATTAATGCAAAAATAAGTTTTTTTTGTCAAATTAAAAATTGTAAATGAGAGTGAGTGGAAGAGCAATTTTTGAAAACTAAAATTGCAATCAAATGTAATTAATGACTTGAGTTTAAATCCGTAGAATTGATTTTCACCAGAAAATTTAACAAAACAGTGTTTTAGTTTTAGCAGTACATTTTTCGACAGCTTGTTTGCTTCAAAACAAAACAAAACAAATTTCTTTAAACTTATTGATTTTTGAAAACCATCAAAAAGAAGACGGCAATGTAGGAGATTACCTAAAATTATATTTTTTTGTTGCAATTAATCTGAAAAAAGTGAAATCAGCTTTGACTTGCCATATAGAAAGTTTTTGAGGTGATTCGATAGTTGTCCATCAGCACCATACAGTAGGGTTTCAGGCGGTCCTTCATTTGCAGCCATTCAGCCTGAATAGAAAAAAAGTACTACAAATGATATTTTAAAGTTTTGCAAATTCCACTTACCTTGAGAATAACCCGATGGACCACCTTATTCTCCCTTCTCCCATTGTCCAAATTTCGCGTAAACAACTTCAGGTAGACTTGAGCATTCACCCGCTCCACCTTCTGATTCAGCTTGACTATCTGCGCGCAGCGATTGATGAGCAGAAAAAGGAGCGCCTCCACCTCGATTAGGGCGTAGAGGAAAAATAGTTTTTGAGTGAATGGAAGCGTGCGAATGATGAAGACAATGTAGGCCATGTACGCCTGCAGGGTGATGTGTTCCAGGAGAAAAATACTGAGAAATGGGGACCAGAATCGAGAGGCGGTGGCAATGTCGGCGCAGAGGACGGCGTAGGCTCGGTTCAGCAGGACCGTCTGTCGCCAGATCTGCTCTAGCTGCTGCTGTTTTCGGGAATAAAATGAAGCAGGAGGAGGAGGTGTGGAGGGAGGTATTTCAGTCGAAGAGGAATTTTGGTCAAAACTTCTGAAAGTGATGCAAGTGGTGGTGAGCTGCTGGGCGAGGGCGGTCAGCTGGTCGAGCTGTGACTTTTGCCGAATTTGCAGAAACTTGCTCGCCATGATGGGAAAGTGAATGAGGGCGAAGATGGCTGCAGGAAACAATCGATCATCTTAGAGTACTTAGAAACTAAACTAAATTTTGACTTTACCATAGAGAACGTAGCACACGTGCAGCGGATAGACCAGAACCCAGAGAAAGNTTACTTTACCATAGAGAACGTAGCACACGTGCAGCGGATAAACGAGGACCCAAAGAAAGAGGTCGCGGGGGATGGGCCGGAAGAGGCGGTGCACGTAGAAGACGTTCAGGTAGGAGAAGCCGAGAGTGGCGAGAATGAAAAAGGCCAGACAGGCCATCGCCGGCGGATGTAGGCGGCGGTGGTATGCGAGAATTGCGGCGGAGTCAGGTTCAGAAAGTTCTGAAAAAAAAAACTTGAAAATTAAAATTCAACAAAAACTATTTAAATTCCCTTACCTGAACGTCCATTGGACAGAATCGTGTTAGCCTTTCCCTCTACAAAGNGACTTTACCATAGAGAACGTAGCACACGTGCAGCGGATAGACCAGAACCCAGAGAAAGAGGTCGCGGGGGATGGGCCGGAAGAGGCGGTGCACGTAGAAGACGTTCAGGTAGGAGAAGCCGAGAGTGGCGAGGATGAAAAAGGCCAGACAGGCCATCGCCGGCGGATGTAGGCGGCGGTGGTAGGCGAGAATTGCGGCGGAGTCAGGCTCAGAAAGTTCTGCAAAAACACACAAGTTTTGAAAATCAAAATTTGAACAAAAACTTTTTAAATTCCCCTACCTGAACGTCCATTGGACAGAATCGTGTTAGCCTTTCCCTCTACAAAGCGGTACTTGACGCCTTGAGGAACGGCATTCCGCAAGAAAGAACAGTATATGGCAATTGCCCCGACGATGCCAATCATGTCACAAACATCTGACTGATGCCACATCAGCCGAGGAAATACCTGGTGAAAGAGCATGTACGGACTGGCGAACAGCGTTTCCAGGCTCCACTCAAACTCAAAAGCTTTTCCATTATTTGAAGATTCTTCTTTCTTAGCAGCGTACACCAGGTACACGTTGCCAAAGAGTGAACAAAAGGTCATGTGAAGAATTGGATAGAGAAAGGTGAGATCCCATTTGCCAAAAGATTTTCTGGTTTTTGTGGTAATGTTATTGCTAGGAACGATTATGTTTTTTTTGTTTCTATTTTTCTTCTTTTTAGTTATCATCTTTTCTGAACGCTTATCAGCTCTAGTTTTAGAGGAGGTTTTTGAGAGACGATCAAGCGGGTCGAGGTAATGGTGAAAGGATAGCCAGTGTCTTCGGACCACTTTAAAGAGGTAGTTGACCACAATGTAGTTAGCCATTTTTTAGTTTTGATAATAGGAAAAAAGTTTAAAACAAATTTTATTTTTGTAATAAAAATAAAATTTTTTAAAATTAATATTTTTGAGATGTTTTTCCTTGAAAAACCAAATATACTGAGTTTAGTATTAGAAAATAGTCATTTTTTTATATAAATGCCAAATAATTTGTCATTTTTAATAACATGCTATTATGATTATTCTTTTTTTATTTTGTAAAAACAAAACGTTTGATTATTTAGACAAGTAACTCAAACAGAGCAACATTCACAGTTTAATTAATTGCAATGGTTTAATGTTGATTTTGTACTTTAAATAAAAAATATCTTACGGAAGCATAAATTAAAACAAACAAGTAAAATTTTATTCATTTTAGATTAGAAACAACTGGGTTAGTATGATAAGAAAAAAGTTTGTCATATAAAACTACCCTTTCTAAAAAACTTTTTTATTCAAAAACTATTTAACAATTAAAAGTTTTGTAGCAAAACAAAATCATTAACTTTCACAGAAAAATACTTTAAAAAATCTAATTTATTCTGACTACAGCTTAAGAACATTGACAAGTAAAAAATTTAATTCATTTGTAGCGGTTCTCAATGAGTTACTACCCACTTGATTTTATTTTATTTTGTACAAAAATCTTTGTTTCAAAATTCATCCGTTTTATCTTTATCATACAGAGAATGTGTCAGTGTTTGGAAAAAGTTATTTATGACAGTCTCTGTTACACTTTACATTCTTCCCCCAATCTCAGATAACCCGCTGCAAATGCCAATCTGAACACGTGTTTACTCTGAAAAATGAATGAAAAAGTGTAGCTGCATTAATTAAACAGGTTTGCACGCCACTCGACACATCATCATTAAAAAAACAACAGCACACTACTTCAAGGTCTCAGATTAAACGCACTTTACTACACCGTTTTCAATCCTTTTATTGAAAAGCACACAGCTTCTTTCAGCTTTCTGCCGTTGCAGTTCACATTTGTTCAAACTCAATTCAATCCTAGGCTTCCTCTGAGTCACAGTTCTGCTTCAAGCCCTCCTGCTCAATTTTGTAGATGTGCACAAAGGCGATGATGGCGGTGCAGGCGCTGGCCCCGATGTACCCGCTGACCATGCTGACCAGGCCCACAAAGGGAATGACCAGCTGGAGGATGGCAAAGACGAGGAGGTAGGTGGCGTAGTGCTCGTAGATGAACACCAGGCCCATGGCCGTGTTCAGGGCGAGGGCGCCGAAGATGATAATGGCCCGGGTGTAGGGCAGGCGCTGCTCCGGGGTCAGCGGGTTGTCCTTCTTCGCCAGGGGAATCGCCTCCGTCACCAGGAAGTAGACGTCGCTGATCAGCAGGCAGAAGAGGATGATCATGTTGAGGCAGCGTACCTCGCCGCTGGTGGCCATGTTGTGGGTGATCTTGATTGGATTTGATAGAGGTAATAAGTTGAGGTAAGGATGATCTTCTTCTTGGGTGGTGGTCTGCCTCTGACGAGTGCTTCAAC